TTAAACACACATACTATACCATATATTTTGTGGCACAACAAATTTTCAAGTGGCATCGCTCCTCTTTTTCCCATCCCAGACAAAGTTGTCCAGGTTATGAGGAAAAAAAGGAAAAAGAAAGAAAAATACTAGAATTACAGCTTGGTTTTCTTGACTTTCTCACTTTGTCATGTGTAATGATGACCGGATGACCCATTGAAAAGGAGAACAAATTTTTGAATCTCTAAATCCCATCCACTAGGCTAGTGGAAAGACTATAGGTGCGTAGAGATCTAGAGGGCAACTGAGCTTTCTTGCTTTTTCCCTTCCCTCTTGCATCTCATTACCTCTTTTTTTTTTTCTTTTTTTTTACATATTAGAATTATTTTATATATTATTTTTTTTTTTTTTTTTTTACATATTAGAATTATTTTATATATTAATTGAAGGAAGAAAAATAAATTTTCATTAGGTTTAAATATGCAATTCATAAAAAATAAATAATTTTGACTTAGAATTCATGTCATTTGATTGGAGTGGATCGTTTTTTATTATTTATTTTTTAATGAAACATTTTGGTAAAAATCTCATGTTAAAAATTCAAAATCTTTATTAAAAAAATGTGTTACATAATCTAAATAAGTTGGCTTCCTATATTAAAGGTTAATTGTTATTTAATAATTTATATTTTATAATTTTTTTGAATAATTTTGCAATAGATCGAATTTAAATTGTTGTCTGAAAGGAGAGGAGAGGATATGCACTTAAACGTAACTTGACGCCATTAAATTTGAAGGTCCAAGTGCAATTTATATTATATAATTTAACATAAATTAAATTATAAAGTAAAATTTTTATACATATTATTCTTATTTTTTTTATTGTATATGGTATGCACTTATGCACTTATGGGGGGCAATTTTTTTTCTTTTTAGTAGCGTAAGTGGGGAGTGAAACGTGAGATTTGAACTTTTAAATGTAAACGTTTTTCTTCCAAAACATTAATTTTTGCCACTTAGTTCACAAACGGAAAAATAATCTTAGTAATTTTTGCACTTTTATATATATTAATTAAAAAAAGTAGTCAACTTTCTCCATGCCAAGCAACCTGAACGCAAGGACTTTAACTTGAAACTCTAATACAATTTATTTTAATTACTACTACTAATATTTATTTATTCGATAATTCTCAACAATGCCATCATCCCCTAATCCCTATGATACAACTCACACGCTACTGCTCCACAAAGCAATTTCATTGCTTGACCTAATGATTATGACCTTTGAGGGCATTTATGAGAATTAATCTCAATTATTCTTGAATTTAATGTAACAACTAGTTCTTTTTTTGGATGATCAATGGATCAACTTTAAAGGGAATGCTTTAATTACATTGAACTGGGAGTAAAGCATTTTTTTTTCTTTTTTTCTTTTTTTAAATGTTCAATGTAGATATATTACTATTAGTATTTTTAAAGGGGTTTTTAGAAAGAGTATTTTTTTAAATATCAATTCTTTTTATTTTTTATATGGAATATAAATTAATGTTGAAAATATGCATTAACTGTTAATATTTATATCAATTCAAATCATAAGGAGTGGAAAAGACTTTATTACAATTAGTGTCATGTTGGAATATGCTAATATAAAATGAATTACAAGATTGTGAAGTGAAAGCGAAGTGAAGTGAAGTGAAGTGAAACATTTTTTTTCAAAAAGAAGAAGAAGAAGCATATAACTAAGCATGAGAAAAGAATACCATATTTCCACTGTGCAAAGCAATTATTATTCAAGTTCAAGTTGAAGTTTAAGTTCAAAATAAAGGCTTTGTATTTGCATGAATTTCCAAAGAAGAAAAAAATGAAAATTACTTTGTGTTCCAAAAGACGCCAGGAGACCAAGTGAAGTAGCGAACCCCCCCTCCCTAATTGAAATTCAAACTTCCAAGTTCCAATCCCCCATGAAGCACTAGAAAAGGCGGTTTCTTTAGCCTTCCCCAGTTGCTGACACATTTCAAAATACTTCACTTTAAGAATTCCGATTGATAATAAAATACTGACACCCATCACGTGGTTTTGCTTCTGCCCTCCCTCTCTCTTACATGTTCCTTGAATTTCTCTCAAAGCACGCGCCGTTTCTCTCTCCCCATCCTTTTTGATCTTCACTCTTCATTGTTCTGTTGTAGTGTTCCCTCCTCCATTGTTTGTTTTCTTTCTATATCACTTTCGGTTCCTGCTTTTGCAGATCTGCAACTGCAGGGCAAGGTATGTGCCGTTTCTTTCTTCTTTTGCTTTATCAAGTTAGTGGGAATATTGGGTTTCTTTTCTGGTTTTAATTCAGTCTTGTGTTGTTTTCTTTAATTTAATTTATTGTGTTGGTGTTATTTTGCTTCCACACCTGTTTATGGCATTTGGGTTGTTGTGCTTTAGCTGATAAACTCAAGGTTTGGAGCTCATTCCTTCTGGTATACATATGTAGTGCACTTTTGTTCTTACATTGCCTTAAAAATCTTCCCTTTAGCACTTCTGTTGTTTTTCTTTTAACTGTTGGGGTGTTTATGCGGCTACACTTGGTTTTGGCATCTGGGTCATTGTATATTTGTAGATAAACACAAGTTTTGGAGCTGTTTCTGGTATTCTTAAATTGCCTTAAAGATTGCCCCTTTTGCCTTTTGTGGGTTGTTTGTTCCTTCTCTGCTAATAATCAAGTTTGGGCTTTTACCTTTTTCATTTTTTAAGAAAGTTTTAGTCATTCAATTAGCTATTGTTTCGTTGTTGTGATAGTTGATTTTCTTTTTCTTTCTCTTTTGTGGTAGGAGTATGCCATTTTGGGTTCTTTTGGGAATGTGAAAATTTAAATTGCAAACAGTGCATGTTGCTTTTGTCGTTTCAAACTTCAAACTTTATTGACTTGTAAAGGGATGATTTTGGTAGTTTTTCACTGTCGTGTTTTTCAATTTTGTATTTTCAGGAGATGGGTGTTATTTCAAGGAAGATCTTCCCGGCTTGTGGGAGCATGTGTGTATGTTGCCCAGCTCTGAGATCAAGATCTCGACAGCCAGTCAAACGTTACAAGAAACTACTGTCTGATATATTTCCCAAGTCTCCTGTGAGCATTGTTCTTCTCTTATGGTTTTGGCTTTAGAGGTTTTTGTGATGTCTTGATAGCTAGTGCCTAGTTTGACTATGAGAGGCCCAATTTTTTTTTTCTTTCAACTGATTTGAGGTATGAGTGCCTCTATTTAAGCTAGCCAGCTATGAACATTTATTAATTTGAAGTTTTGGGTAACAAATAACAATGGGCTCCTTAATCATGTAATACAGTTAATGGCTGCCATACTTATGAGCTCTTGTAAATTCTAGTAATGTCCTGAAATCTAGCACGTAAAGTTTGATTGTATTGTCTAGATGCCATCTCATGTAGTTGTGATTGATGCTGGAGTTTCTGGTGCTACTGTCTAAGCTTGTCAGTTAAGTTTAAGTTTGTAACAATAGGAGCCTTGTTACATCACATTATGTGAGCAATGGCTGCTGTGTACTTTTCTTGCCAACTTTAGGTTATAGAAAAAATTGCATATGTGCATGTTTGTGCCAATTTTTTTGCCTTGGGATTGCTGGATATGTCATTTAAAAATTTTGTAATGTTAATCCTTATTTGGGTCTTGGAAGGAACAGGGGAAAGCAAGAAAACATTTTGTGATGTTGATAAGCAGCTCCCCTGGTGCCTGTTGAGGATCATAATTTAGTTGTCAACCCACCTGCTTTTAATGACTTTTGATGTGATATTTAAAGGCTGAAATTGCAATGCAGGATTGTCAATCAAATGATAGGAAAATTGCTAAATTATGTGAATATGCTGCAAAAAATCCTTTCCGAATCCCAAAGGTAGTCATCATCCTCTAGCATGTCTGTTTCTGATTGGTGTAGGCTTGATTTATTGCATGTGCAACTGAGGTACTGTTTTTCTTTATTTAGATTGCAAAATATCTTGAAGAAAGATGCTACAAAGAGCTGCGACATGGACATATCAAGTTTGTCAATATTGTCACAGAGGCTTACAATAAGTTGCTGTGCATGTGTAAAGAACAGATGTAAGTGAAATATTTCTTATTTTGTTATTTTTATCATTTCTTTTTCTTAACAATAAATTGAAATTGTCTTTATTTTCATCTTGTAGGGTCTATTTTGCTGTTAGTTTGCTGAATGTTGTTAGTGAACTGCTTGATAACTCTAAGCAAGACTCTTTGCGGATACTCGGATGCCAGACCTTCACACAGTTCATCTATAGTCAGGTAAAATTGTTTTCTACTTATCTATGGCGGAAGAAAAGGAATGAAAGGTAACTAATTATGCCGAGGAGAACATAAATGTCTCAAGTAGTATCATCTCCTTCTATAAAGTTTGGATTGTAAGTTAGGCTGGCAATGTATTGATGGCTAGACACTAGTTGCTGGCTTTAAATGTTGGGGATTAACAAACCTTGTATCACTTTTATGTTATGTAAGCAGGAAGATATAGTATGCATGCCTGTCTTCTCAGAACTCATATAAACCTTCATCTCAAGATCAATAATAATTAAATTAAGATTCTATTACTTGTACTGATGTTCTAACATATCATATGAGCAGCGAGATGGGACTTACACACATAACATAGAAAAATTGGCTCATAAAGTGTGCAAGTTGGCGCACAAGACCGGAGAGGAACATGAAAGGCGTTCTTTAAGAGCCTCAAGCTTGCAGTGCCTTTCTGCCATGGTAGTTCAAAAATTTCTTTTCCAATCAATACTTCAGCTTAGAAGCCAGAAGTTATGTTTGTACCGAGCTTGGCCTTTTGCAACTGAACCAGAAGGATTTATTTGGTTAATTCTATTGCTTGTAGGTTTGGTTCATGGCAGAGTTCTCATATTTTTTTGCTGCTTTTGATGAGGTCAGCATGTTCTTCATTTATTTCCCTGAGAGTTGCTTGACCTTTTAGTTAAGATATTTCCCATTAGTTTTTGAGAGCTTAGATATCTAATGTGGTTGAATTGTTTCTTGTATTGTTTTCTTTGCACTTTTTTTCCCACTAAACATCATTATTATATTTCTGGCGGTGCTTACCTTTCTTATTTAATATGATCAAACTTCAGATGGTAAATGCCACATTAGATAATTATGAGCTTGATACACATGCTGATAATGATGAGAGAGGAGAGCCACATCATAATTGGTTAGATGAAGTGGTGAGATGTGAGGGTAGAGGCACAATTGTTGGTAGCAATGCTAGCCTTAGCAACAAGATTATTAGACCTCGACCAGGAAAAAGGGATCCCTCTCTTCTTACAAGGTAGTGTTTTCTCTAAAAGCTATGAAGGAAACCTTTTTCCAACATTCTAGTTTTCTATATTTTCCTAAATAATTGAAATTTTTGTTGTAGAGAAGAGATTGAGACGCCTAAAGTTTGGGCTCAGATATGTATCCAGCGAATGGTTGAGCTGGCCAAGGAGAGTATAACAATGCGCCAAGTGTTGGATCCAATGTTCACTTACTTTGATTCTCGGCAGCGTTGGGTTCCTCAGGAAGGATTGGCAATAGCACTTCTGTCTGATATGTCCTACTTGACTGAGAGTTTAGGTATCTTTTCTTTCCTTTCACTTCTGCAGATAAAGTGTTTTACATGGAGCTTGTAGACATGCAATTGTTGTGTTTTCTTAAATTAGCTTCTAATATCTATCAGAGTTTTAATGTTACTTTTGATTTCAGAGAGTCAGCAACTGATTTTAGCTGCAGTGATACGTCATCTGGACCATAAAAATGTTGCACATGATCCCCAACTCAAATCATATATCGTGCAAGTTGCTGCTGCTTTAACAAGGCAAATTAGATCAGGAGGAGTGCTTGCTGAACTCTGTTTTGTCAGTGATCTCTGCAGGCATTTGAGGAAAAGTTTTCAAGCCACTCTTGAATTAGCAGGAGAGCAGGAGTTAAATTTGAATATCATGCTTCAGAATTCCATTGAAGATTGCTTACTTGAAATAGCAAAAGGGGTAACTATGAATCCATTTTTCCTTGTTTTTGGTAAATCTGACCAGTGCTTGTAATTCTGATTTTGAATTCATTTGAATTTGCATTGTATTTTACTAGATTGGTGATCCACGGCCACTATTTGATATGATGGCAATAACACTGGAGAAGCTTCCATCTTCTGGAGTTGTTGCTCGCGCAACCATTGGATCAGTAATGATTCTTGCTCACATGATTTCATCAGTATTAGCATTGTCTCAATCTCAGCAGCAGGTGAGAGGCAGTTTATGTACATTTGTGGCCTTTTTTGTGCACTTTTGGCTATTTGTGTTCTGCCTTTTCACATTCTAGGTTCAAGATCTCATTCAAGTGCTATCTATGTTTTAATTTCTGTAAATCTGGACTCTGTGAGAAGCAATTTTAGATTATAGTCTGCATCTCGTGATGCTACCCTATGATGTAGTTTTCCTGAGAACCTTTAAACTTTTTAGGTATTCCCCGACTCACTTCTTGTCCAATTAATGAAAGTGATGTTGCATCCAAATGTTGAGGCTCGTGTTGGAGCACACCAGATATTTTCTGCTCTTCTTGTTCCACGTTCTAGTACTTCCAGGAGTGAAACACATTTACGGTTTGGTTATTTGCATGAGCCAAGAACTTGGTGTTCCAACAATGCATCTGCATTTGCATCAATATCAGCTCTACTTCAAAAGCTTCGCAGAGAAAAGGATGGAACCAAAATCAGCGAGAATGGTTGTAATGTCCATGAAGATTTCAAAGGGAGGGATAATATAGAAGAAGACTGGAAGCAGGCCCGCCTTAGAAAAAATTCCCCTAATTTTTATGCATTAAGTTCTATTATTGAAAGGAAAGCTGGATCTAACATGTTTGAAACAGTAAGCAAATTTCCATTTAATGATTCTCGTGTGATCATCTAGTTTCAATATTTGTTCCAATTCGCTGATACCTTAAATCTGGTATGTCGATTTGCGCAGGAGCCTTACGTCATGAAGCTTTTGGAGGACCAGATAGTGCAGTTGTTGTCTGCCTTCTGGATACAGGCCACTCTTCCTGATAATTTGCCTACAAATATTGAAGCCATCTCTCACTCTTTTGTGTTAATACTTATTGCTTTGTGTTTGAAGGTAAATTATAAATGGATTAGACATTTTTATTTTGCCATAAATAAATTAGGCCTTATTCTCTATTTCTAGTATCATAATCAGTTTCCCTTTTAAAGTTGTTTTTGGGCCTTCATCAGGGTCATTAAAGTCTTAAATTGAATGTAAACCCCTCCAAATATCCAATAAAGTATGCCCAGTGTTCTTATATTTTGTCGACTTATCATAAATTGTGATGTCTTAATTTTGATTTGCAGAATCTCAATAACAACCTCATTAATTTTGATTTGCAGAATCTCAATAACAACCTCATTGTCCGGTTCTTCCAGCTTCCTTTGTCTCTGAGGAATGTATCCTTGGACCCTAACAATGGTAAGTGAAATTCATCTTGGAAATCTTAAGAAATAGAAAGTTTTTAAGTTCATTTTTCACCTGTTTTTTTGGTTAGGTATGTTAACTCCAGTATGCCAGAGATCAATTCTTGCACTATCAATGGGCATGTTGATGTCTGCAGCTAAGATATATCACATTCCAGAGTTGAATGACCTTAAGTCCCTGATTCCATGTGACGTAAGTTCTGACTTTTTCTGTTCTTCAATATGTTTGCAGTACTTTCAGTTTTATTAAGTACAAGGCAAAGTCACTGTTTAAAAGGTGGTGTAATCTATTCAGGTTGATCCTTATCTGTGCATCAGTGACGACTTTCAAGTATTTGTAAGGCCAGAAGCAGATTTGAGACAATATGGATCTGCTAGTGATAATCAATTGGCCTCCTCTGTTCTCTTTGAGTTACGGGATAAAATGTTTGAACCCAACAATTATATAGCAGATATATTGGTTCGAAATTTATCTTCCATTACTGAGGTAAGACATTGATATTGACGAGCTTCACCACTTATCTCTCTCACTCTACATACCTGTGACACATGTATTTGCTTGTTAAGCTGGACAAAGATGATCTCATGAAACAACTATTTGAACAATTCACACCTGATGATGCATTTGTGTTTGGGCCACGATCTATGCTTGACTTGGACCACAATCAAGTGACCTTCTCCAAGGAATCACTTTCATTTGATGAGGTATGCACTATGGCATTTCTTTTCCTGCAAACACGACAAACCCATGTGTGTGCAGACACATAATAGCAGTTATATTTATTTCTATTATTATTAAAGCTAAGGCTAAAAATTACTGCTTATGTTTCAGGATATTCCAGCAATTTCATTAGTGGATGATGATGCAAGAAGTGAAGCATCTGTTGCTGACCTCTCCCGCTTCATTCCCAAAATTCCTCCATCACCTTCTATCTCCCATGTTCTTAGCATAGGACAGCTCCTAGAATCAGTAATCTCTTTGCCTCACTCGTTTTTCTATATCCATATAATAATATAGCAAATTTCTTTGTGTTTGCATATTTGTTCTCACCATTGAATAATGTCGTTTCTAGGCACTTGAGGTTGCTGGTCATGTTGCAGCAACATCCGTCTCCTCATCACCCCTTCCATATGATGCCATGGCCAGCCAATGTGAAGCTCTCACCTCAGGCACAAGGAAGAAGCTCTCGAATTGGTTGGCCCAGGAAAATCATCAAAGTAGAACTCCTGGTAGATTTTTACCAACAGCAGTACCTGTGGATGGATGCGATGCATTTTGGGAGGTAAAATAATGAATTTCATTACTAAAACCTGCTAAACGATTTGAACCACTTGCAGTGATCCATAGTAAGATAAATCCTAGCTAGGAAAAGCTTTGGTATATACCTTGAATCTTATGATATTCTGCCTGTCTTCATGTAGATAACAAGCAATGCCGGGCTGTCTAAAGCTGTGTTGCCCCGGGATCCATGCTTGGGTGTGAGGTTGCCTCCAGCTAGCCCATTTGACAACTTCCTCAAGGCAGCTGGGTGTTGAAGGAGGGAGCATGGTATCCACGTAGTTTATGATGTAAAGGTTTTAGGTGGTAGTTGAAATGTTCTAGTATTTAGTTTTGGGATTTGCTGGTGCTTTGAATTGAGGGCCGTAGGTGCCCAACATCGACATACCTTATGTTAACTACTTTTCAGACAACCGCCCAACATGTAATATCTGAATCCTAGTTGAATTTTTAGGCAGATTCTCCCCAGCGAAGTGCAAAAGCACCCATCTACAAATGGTAGACACGTCGCAAAATCAACAGCAACTTGGTAGGCTGAATTGGTATTTAAAATCTTAAAATCTATGATTTGGGGTCAAGGTGAGGTCAGGTCTCTGTAATACCGAAGTTGCCAATCTTCGATACACCAAGAAAAAGGGTAAAAGAAAACAACCATTGGAGTGTTGCCCCAAAACTTGATGCTTGAAGCTGGCGTAAAAAGATGATGCTTGGAAGGCACCTGAAACTAACTTAAAAAGAGATTCCTTTTTATACATTTCAAGATTTGAATTTGAGGTTTTTAATATAAAGACTTGAGCGCACTTGCGGAAGAAATTGACTATAAATATGCACACCTATGACTAATCATCCAGACAATAATACGATCCCGCAGCCTTGTACTTTCTGTCCTCAATTGAATCGAATTTGTTGATTTTCGGCTGATAATTAACAGGGTCATGGCTAGCTGTGACATCTAATTGATGCATTACAAGCAACAACAGGCAATAATAGTGAGCATTATATGGTGTACATAACAAGAGCACATGACAGATACAGATAATATATGGGACAAACACTTAATGGAACAGTAAAATATATCCTGACCTAAATTACTACGACAACAAGTATCACAAAAAGAAAACCAGTTTCTGTGCCTAACAAGTAAAGAACATTACTATGCATTAAAGTTTAAACATATCTGTTGCTTGATATCTTTTTCTCACATTTGCAACCTCAATAATGAGTAAAACATCTCTGGTGAAAAAACAACTGCAAGACTTACCGATAAGAACAGATTCATCCCAGTCAAAGGTGAGTGAGGAGTATTTGCAGTACAATTCACTGATGACTGTCCATTGTGCACAATAACTCTATCTGCCAGATATGTTGCAACTACCAAGTCATGCTCAACCACAAATGCTGTTTTCTTTTTATAGAGTATAAACCTCCTTATGACTTTAGAAGCAACAATTCGTTGCTTAGAATCAAGATATGCGCTTGGTTCGTCTATTAAGTAAACATCTGCTGGCTTCAAGAAACAAAGCATAACCGAAATAAGCATTAGAAACTTTGAAATTTAAAACAACATATCAGCTAAATACACTCACGTAAACCAAAGCTAAATGTACCTTATAAAGGTTCTCTTTGAAATATGAAACATACCTTTCCCAGACACAGACATAATGTAACTCTCCTTCTGAGAGATTCACAACTTCTTGATCCAATAAAGGTTCAATCAGTAGAGGCTCCATAGCATATGAGACAAACTGAGGATCCATACAGGAATCAAGTGTCTCTGAATGTAGCAAGTTCCTAGCTGTGGACTGAAGATTTGGATTCATACATGAATCGCCAAACTTTGAACGCATAATTTTCCAAACTACAGGCTGAAATTTGTGAACAGCATTCTGGGACTTAAGTGAAACATTGAACTGAGGTATCTCCACATCAGAACCTTCAACAGTATTAGGTTTCACCAAACCAGCCTGTAGAATAATCCCATAAATAAGTCAACAAATTCCATTGATTGTAGATCAAAGATACAAAACAGATAAATAAGGAAACAGATGACAAAAGGAAAGAATATTACGAACATACGAATAAATGTTGTCTTCCCTGTCTCGTTCTCTCCCAGCAATACATAATCTGGGAATCAGTAAATTCACCCTAATCACTTTAAAACTTCTGCGCGAGTTTTTGTCATAGTTGGGTATCTGTAACGTCATGGAAAGGTATCAAATTCTCCAACACTTCCCTCCAGGATCCTGGCAAACTACAAAAAGTCAATGAAAGAAAAACTATAGATAAGAAAAGGCCAAATGGAAAGCACACGGTTGACAAAATCAAAAGGTTTTACCTCCGAGCAAAATTAGATTTCTTGCTCCATCCAAGAAGATATTGATTCCTTATCTTACAGAAAATCCGAGTGTTACAAGTCCATGCTCTCCCAGTTCCCCTTACAAGCAGCAAACAAAGTCAGATAAGTAATCCAAGATACTGAGATCATGGTCAGCAACAACCATAGAGCTGAAACACAAAACATAAATAAGTCATTATTCATAATTCAAAATATATAATCTGTTTGATTAAAGTTAGCAATTAATAGTCATTTTCCAAACACTAAAACAAACACTCACAAATGGAGTAAAAAGGGATGGGATGTAAATTAATTGGTCTATTGTGCCTGAGCAAAGATCTGATAACTTCTGCAGCTTTTAGCCTTTGTTTCACATCAAGATAACTTAATTAAAGGTTCATCAAACAAATATGTTCCTGCAACCCGTACGGAAGCATATGCAATGGAAAATCTGAAGCTCTCCACCAGATAAACCCCTACATTACGATTTATGATACGGTTTACATCCAGGTCATCGTAAAGTTTGGCCTTCATCCCTGTGTGATCCAAGCTCGCGAGCAGCTTGTCCATCTGCGCACTGCCCAAACCATGTCGTCTAGGAATAACGCCAAAAATATCCTGTTGCTTAACCACTATCTGTTGAATATAAGGTAAAGTTTGAGAAAGATGGTATGAAAGCAATACTCTCTACGTTTCAAAATATAAGTCATTTAACTTTTTTACATGCAAATTTTTTTTGAAATGAATAGTGAAGAAACACGTCTAGACAGAGAAGGACCTTCAACTGATTATTCAGCACGTTGCAAAGATAATCCCGCTACTCAGGATCTTCAAAAGAAGGCACAAATTTTTCCTAACTTAGGAATTCCTGCAAAACAATTGTCGAAAATAATTAATACACCCTTAGTTTAACATATTTTTCTGATATATTCTCGGTTTAGTTATTAAAAATATAATATAAATATAATTAATTTAATCAATTTTTGTATCATATGTGTATAATTATATCATTAAATTTATCTATTTTTAATTTCATATTAAAAAATAATTATTTTTTAATAAGTATGTTACGTAATATGTTAAATAAAAGTATATATCAATCATTGTTTTAATAAAAAAAAGTTAAAAAAAATTGAATCCCAAATATATATATATATATCTCGTCAGATAATTACCTTGAAATTAGCATTTCCCAACCTGCTCTGCGTGTTGCGGTGTATTTCGACTTTAAAAGAAAAAAAAATTAATATAGTTAAAATTTGAGATGTATTTGGCTGTTGGACCATCCCCAAGTGTCCTCTTGACTTCATGATGGATGCAGTCTTGATAGTACTCTAGTTAGAGAAAAACAAAAACAGGTGAAGAAAGGGGAAAAGGTGAAATCTTGGTGATGGTGTCCAGGAGCCATCGAAAATGACATTAATGGCGACTAATCAATTCTCGATTTTGTCAAAGGTTTGGCCATTTAGAAAAATAGGGCTGATATGATAAATGAAGAAAGATTTATAAAAGAAGTAGAGTATGTTCTAACAATTTTACGCCTATTTAAAAAGGATAAATATAATTATTAAGACTTTGTTTGGTATTGTTGTGATTTTTGAGATTTTGATTTTTAAAAATTTAGAAATTCTACAATAAAATTAAAAAATTCTATATAATACTTAGTTTTGAAGTTTTAGATATTAATTTTAAATTAAATCTTATATCAAATAAATTGTCAATTTTTATTTTTAATTTTCAATTATTAATTTTGAATATTTGAATGTTAAAAATCAAAATTAAAAACCCAAAACCACAACTATAATCATACTAAAAGTATAAATCTACCAACTAAAATGCTATCCAAACCCCAAAAAAAAAAAAAAAAATTACAACTCTCTCATAAAGTCATGCCAATCAAAATGCCCTCTAAATTAAAAATAATTACAAGTTTGTTTAGCACTATGTAACCTAATGACCATAACCTATGTGGAACGTGCTATGACATTCAAGTCTTGGATTCTACACCCAAGCACTACTTCCCCTATCCCCCACAATTCCTCTTGGTTCAAAATAATGATAATAATAATAATTACAAGTTTCTCATAAAAAAATTTCATTTTATGAGATTTTTTAGCATTCTTAAAATTTAGATTGCTTCCAAATTGGTTAAAAATTATAAAGCCACTATTAGAGCCTCTTCTACATTCTTGACAAAGAGACAACTTTCCTTAAGTGAGACAAAGGAAAACAAAGTGAAAGTAGAGAAAGAAAGGAACAAGTAAGGACTCATTCTCTTATTATTAGATTACCCAAATTTGGTCTGGGTAATCCAGCCAAAGGATGGATGGCCGTGATGGATGGCCGTTGTCATGCCATTGCCGTTTTTTCCGAGCAAACCAACAACTTGGCCTGACTTCAGGACTGGTAACCTGAAATTGAAATTCCACAGCATCTCAAATCACTCAATTCTAAAACAAAAAAATCAATAATTTCCAAGGAAGAGGAGCATGAATGAACCAACCCGAACAATTTGAAACTATCGGGGCCATGTTGATGGTTCAATCCATCCGCCATCTAAACTTTGGGAAGAAGAATACTAGTTTTACTTCTATGGCATGTTTGGATTGAGTAAAATAGAGAAGATG